TTAGCTCAACAAAGTTGCTCATGCTACCTACCTAGCTAGACTGGTAACTTAGCATGGAAGTGAGGAGCCTGTGTTAGAAGTGTTAGCTAGTTTTGTGTGTTTTTCTCTAACATCTATTAGAATCAAAACACAGCTGAGGTAACTGTGAATTAACTAGCTAATGTTAGCTGCTGCTCCTGTTAACACTGGTTTGTCGCTTTGATGTTGTAATCCAAGCTCACAACCCAGCCAAGCTAGTTAGCCAGCTAGGTAGGTAGCATGTGCAGCCTAGTTAAGCTCAAGCTCATTCAGTCAGTTTTTTACAGCACCAGCTATATAGTTGATTGGTGCTAACTGGCTAAACTGGCTAAATGTTGATCTTGCTTGCCTAAGGAAGGAGGGATCAACACCACTGTCATGAAAAGAGACATTATGAAGTGGTATGGAATAAAAGTGTTATTAGGGAAAATGCTACTATGTGACAAAAACAGACAGGAAATGAGGCATCTTGAAATAAAACTTTCTGATATTTTTATATATTTCACATGATTTATTCATGTTCCTTCTATAATTGTCACTTTTGTTACCCAGCAATAACATCAGAAACACAGCGGGTTCTCATACACTCAAACAGCTATTATCTAGATCTCAGTTCAGTGAGATATGTATCTAACCTAAAGATAGATATTCCAACCTCAAACGATATGATGTAAAACCAAGGAGCTTTAGGATGGATCACACAGGTAATTTTGAGATAAAGGTCACAGCAGTAAAACACATTTAGGGTGGTATCATCATTACAACACACCAAAAAAAAAAAGAGTATTCAACGCCATGTCAGGTGAAAAACAAAAATTCACATACATAAAGATAAATTCTCAGGGAGGAATGCAACATTGCTAATTATGTAAGATATAAAATTATCTGTTGCTTCGGGGACTTGCTTCATTGTTAATCTCCTCCGCCAGTAATCTTGGTTATGTGCTGTGAAGGGTCTGTGTCTGCTGTACGACCAGAGCCCCAGCTTGATAGGAAGTGTTATGACGAAAGCAATTTCCATAGAGACAGCTCTGCTTGCTTGCTTGTGTGACTGCAGACTGACCACTACCATCTCTAAAGTCTGCCTTTATTTTTGATACTGTGACTGATTGCATTTAAAATACCTGGCAATCTCACACAAACCACACAATCATATTTACCTAGGTTACTGTAGAAGGTTCACCTGCATGATCTCCAAAGACACAACCTTCACACTCCCTGACTACATAAAAAGACCTTCAGAATCAATAAGAAATTCGATCAGTCTTTCTTATACTCAAACCAGTGTTTTAGGCACCACATGGTTATTGATGGCAAAGAAACAGACTGTTTAGTTGTCTGTCTCGACAGTGCCATCATGTGTCCAGTCAACCAAAAATAGGGGCAATCCCTTCATCCCTCTTTAAAAACATTCTCCACATACAGGTGTATAAAATAATGACTTAATGAAAGAAGAATTGAAGCACAGCGGGACTGCAAACTCTCGGTTGTGATGAGACACAGACACTGAACATCAAGACATTTTATCAAATTAATCTGAAATTAAAGCTTTATAATCTAAATAAGTTTACACTATGCTTTAAAAAATAAATTTCTACTTTCTGCATGGCAGGTGTCAGTTTTTTTCAAGGCATCCTTTTCTATACTGTCTTTCAGCTTATAGTAATTAGTGTTACAAGTGACAGTCCCAGGATACTTCTCTCTTGGTTGGCTCAGTCAAATGAATCACCCTGCCTCCCTCCTGGGTTTGCTAAAAGACCACCAAACCATCAACTCAACATTTCCTATGAACACTGCCACACTCCTCTGCACTCATTAGTGTCAAAACAGAGTGCAGATCCTGTGGTAACCACCTGTTGGAACACAGTGTCTGGATATCTGTTTACAGTGTCACCAGTAGTTTTAATCATCTGACTGGTCGACCTTTCTTTATTTTAAACAAATGACAGGGACCTTTAATATATGCATCATCAGAGAGACACACGGCGACGTGAAAATGCATCTGATATAATGATACATTATCAGCCTCATTATCTTACCTTTCATTTGTGTCAGCTGGGTATGCAGCAAGAATCTCTGTTAGAAGTCCACTTATCAGGAAAGATATTCTCCTCCTCTGCGACCTCTCTCAGCTCCCCTTTTTGTTCTCTCTTTGTGGCGTAGAGGGAATGGGAGTGCTGCCACAGGTGGCAGAAGCTACAGATGCAGTGGCCACATTGTTAGTTGGATGTACACCGCAAAGAAAAGGAAAGGTAGGAGCTGTTGCAGCAGCAGTTCAATCAAGCACAGCAACATGTGGTTGCAAAAGCGGTTGCATTTATTCTCCTCCCCCTCCTCCTCCTCGCTGTGGATGCTGGAGTTGGAGGGCTTGAGGGAGAGAGAGGGGGGCTGAGACAGTGGGTCCAGTCCTTCCAATAAACATCCCCCTTCCCTTTAGATGCGCATTCAAAGCATCAGCACCACCCACTCACTCCAGTCCTCCCTGACATCAATGACAACAAGAACCATCCAGGTATCTTTTTAATAGCTGGGATCAGAGTGAACACCATGAGAGTGAAAAAAAAAAAGGCTGGAACAGATGGGTGGGTGAGGGAGCACTACATGCCCCCCTCATATCACCTATAATCTCTCTTTCTTCCTCTCCGGTGTAATTGGAAAGCTCTTAATGTTTTAAATCCTATGTGGGTGTTTGGCTGTCTCTATGTTTTTGTGATCACTCGGTTTGATCCATCTGTTTTCCTGCAAGGTTACCATGACAATTAATGTGTGTTTATGAAGTCATTTGGTAGTCGTGAAAATGTAGACAGTGTCTGTGTGTGTGTGTGTGTGTGTGTGTGTATGCGTGCGTGCGTGTCTTTGTGTGAGTGTGGGTTGGCAGAAACTCAACATCCGCCTCCAAATTGAATCAACCTGCAGCCAATAAAACTCTGTACCCCCCACCCCTCCCTCTTACTGTCTATCTGTTTCTCAACCATTCAAACCCGGTCACACTCACACAACACACACACTGACACACTCACTTTCTGTCACAACAACTGAACAGTGGAAGGGTTAAAGACAAATTCCACTTAAATGATTTTATTTCAGCAGCCGATGATTGATCTGTTCATTTATTTTGTTTTGGTCTATCAGAAAATAATGACAATTTCCCTAAATTCCTAAAGCTTAAGGCAACGTCAACAAATTACTTGTTTTGTCCACCTAATAGTCCAAAACCCCATAGAATCGGGGACATCAGTCACATTAGACAAAGAAAACATGCAAATCCTATTAGAGATGCTGGATCTTGAGAACATGCAGTATTTTTTACTTAAGGATAACCACACCAATAGGTCGGCTAATCATTTCTGCTCTGCTTTGACTAGTGAGTCATCATAATAATAATAATAATAATCCTTATTTGTAGAGCACTTTTCAAAAACAAGTTACAAAGTGCTTTAACAAGTGTAAAGAATAATACAAAAAAGATAAGAGCATGAAAATTTAATATAAAATTAGTAAAATACAATAAAATAAAAGGGATAAAATAAAGTCAAATAAGATCGGGAAAGGCTCTCCTATAAAAGTATGTTTTAAGAAGGGACTTAAAAGAGTTCACTGACTCAGCCGACCTGATTTCCTCGGGCAGGCTGTTCCAGAGCCTCGGGGCCCTGACATAAAACGCTCTGTCCCCTTTAGTTTTCAGTCGAGATCATCAGATGCATGGTAATCAAACATGTCGTTAACAGGTGAACAGGGCTGAAACAATTAGACAATAGAGACATTTATTTATTTTAATTCTTTTTCACACAAAAATTCTCCTCTAATGTGAAAATTTGTTGCATTTCTTTTTCTTACCTGATTTTAAATTGAATGATTTTAAGGCTCTGGACTGTTGGTCCACTAAACAATTAATTTGAAGATGTCACCTTGGGTTCTCTGAAGTTGTGACATTTTTCATTATTTTTTTTTGACATTTTATAGATCAAACAATGAATGAATTAATCAAAAATATAATAACTGCAGCACTAGTTCAACATCTAACGTCTAAACCTCAACATCTAACTTTAAGTGGAATCTGCCTTTAACCCTCCTACTAAATAGAAAATAGTAATCAGTTAACAAAAGAAATAGTAACAGGCAGAATAATCAATGATGAAAATAATAATTACTTGCAGCCCTACTATTTAAAACCTATGATATAGTCCTAGCTATAATGTTTTTAGATTTATAAACTTAACATGAATTGACTGACTGTAATGAAGAAACTAAATCAACCAACACTCAAGATGAAGCCCATAGAGTAATATTTATGAAATGGAAAGCAAGTTTATAATAGAAATAGCCTACATTTCACATAACGTGCAATATACATCTTATAAAATGTCATGTGCAATATTATTGCAATTGTTTTTTATGGATTTCTATAAAAATTATATTGTATATTTCCTATCATTCAAAAAACCTTATTATGTAGTCCTTCTGTTGTGCATTGTGTGGTGGGTCTGTGTGATGGGTGTCAGCAGGTTCACTCTACGAAAAGGGTGGGAACACTACGGAGCCTTCAGGTATTCCTCATAAACCTCGTAAAAATAACATTGTCTGCATTCAATTGTTTCACAGTCGTTCTAAAAAACACACAAACACACATAAAAGCGACTATGAAACAATAAGAACATATTTTACAGCCAACATCATACAGGGAGATAGACAGAATCATAATAGTCACTTTTAAATCGTCGTCAGAGTGTAGAATCAGGGTAAATATGGGTTTCCTAAAACATTTCCTTCGACTTTCACCTCAAGATATGCCACGGAATTATGGTTACTTTAGCTGACTTTTTAAATCAACAAGTCAATTATATTTATCCTCTATTTACCTCCATGATTGGTTGCTTCTGTTGGCCTGGTCTTTAAATGTTGATTATTCCGATGCCCCGAAGGCAGCATCAGTGGTGTTGTCCAGCGGGTTGCGGTTGGTCCAGGTCCGGACAGCGGCTTGTCGTCACTGCACTTTGCACGCACATCATTCACGCTGACATCAAACTTTTTGATAAAAATTTATTTGTGTCGAAATAAACCCACAATTAATGTTTGAAAATGTCCGAAGACTCGTGGGCGGTTGCAGTCGACGTTCAAGAAGCTACAACTCCATCCATACAGGTAAGGTAAAGTTTTAAAGGTGACCAACAGCTTAAAAAATAACATCAAACGAACTTGCTCATCGTTCGTTAGCAGGTTAGCTCAATATGCTACCTAGCTGCTGTGTCTGCAATATGACATGCTAACAATTTTCGCATTATTTTTTTAGCCTTAATGTTATAAAACTGTATTTCCTCTGGCCAGATTGACTTCTCAAAGAAGGTGGATCGACTGCGTGGTCCACGCAACATAAGAGGAGACATAAATGGTAACTTAATTAGTTGTTCTCCCCTTATTAACATCCCCGCTATCTAATTTTACCGCTTAGTTGTCGTGGTGTCTGACGGACTTTTGTGTGGTTTTCCACCTGTGCAGGCAACATTGTGCCGGAGAGAGCTGAAAATGGAGGCTGGACAAGAGACGGGGACAAAGTGGACCTGGCTGAACAGTCCCTGTTGAATAAACTGATCCGCCGCTCTCTGGTGCGGAACAGAAACCAGGTGGAGGTTCTGCAGCGGGACCCCACCTCTCCTCTGTACTCTGTGAAGACCTTTGAGGAGCTGAGACTGTGAGTTTGAAATTGATCTGAAATAGATGAGCACAGTATGTCCCCCCCCCCCCAAACAATTTAATCTTTGTTTGACTTGATGATCAATAGGAAACCTGAGCTGCTGAAGGGTGTCTACAACATGGGTTTCAACAGACCATCCAGAATCCAGGAGAATGCTTTGCCCATGATGTTGGCACAGCCGTGAGTTCATTTTTACTCTATTGAAGAAGTGCAATTCTGATATCCAGTCATTTATCAAGAAAAGGCTTCTCAAATGGAAGGATTTGTTGCTCTTCTCTCCTATGTATGTCTTTAAACTTGATATTACCTTGGACTTTGGGGAAAGATATTGTCAGCAATTTGTTGAGGTTGGAGGAGTTGGTGTTTTAATTTCAAAATACTTTATTTTCTTGCTCATTTTTCTCAATATGAGGATTTGCTGTTCTTCTCTTTTGATGACATGGCAAATTGAACATTGACTAAATATTGCTCTATTGGTTTGATTAAATGACCCGACACCATCACCATGGAAATTCCAATAGGTGTTTTTGCTGACATTTTTTTAGACTAAATGATTATTCAATTAATCAAAAAATATTCACAAAATAACAAATAATTTACTTTGATGGAATGCAGATTATTTAAGGAGTCTTCCATTAATAGCAATTATTTTCATTGATTATTACGCCTGTTAAATTCAGTCAGAAAATAATCACAATTTCAAGATGACATATTCAAATTGCTTGTTTTGTCCAACCAACTATCCAAAACTCAATATTCAATTTAAATATAAAACTGAAAGGAGTGGTAAATCCTCACAACTGAGAAGCTGGAACCAGCAAATGTTTCGCATTTTTAATTGAAAAATGACTAGTTAGATCGTCTAATTATCAGTTTCACTTAACAGTTTAATGCAGGATTTGGCTTTAGGGGTAGAATTTTGACTTTTCCCAGTTCATTCAAATGGCTGGAACATACTATCAACAAGAAATGATAAAATATCAATGGTTTTACTAATTTGGACAACTAAATGTAAACTAGATCTCTCTCTCTCTCTCTCTCTCTCTCTCTCTCTCTCTCTCTCTCTCTGAGAGAGATATCTATCTCACACACATACTGATTTATCCTGAAGTAAAATGGACTAGGGCTACAACTAACAATTATTTTTATCAATTTATCTGCCAGTTTGTTCTGTAAATCATTAGAATATTGTGAAAAAGGCCCAATGTCTTGTCAAAATGTCTTGGTGATGAAGGTGACCTCCATCAAATGTCTTTTGTTCAACAAGCAGTCAAAATATTCACTTTACTATAATGTAAGGGCAAGAAAAGAAGCACATCTCACTTATTTCTGCTTGAAAAATGACACATGATTAATATATTATCACAGTCTCTGACCAGTTTCAGTTCTAAAATGGACTATAACTATCATCCTTTAATTTAATGCTAAAAACTATGAAGTAGCTATTAAGAGAATTTTACCACACTTGCATCAGGCTTGTCTGGTATTTATTAACTTCTTTATGTGTGTATTTTCTCTGGTTCCAGACCTCAGAATCTGATTGCCCAGTCTCAGTCTGGCACAGGTAAAACCGCTGCTTTTTCTCTGGCCATGCTCAGCCATGTAAACCCAGCTAAAAAGTGGACTCAGGTAAGTGTAACATGTAGTCTGCAGAGCCACCCAGTGTCCCTTCAGTTGGAGACGCTGAAGTAAACTCTCCATTTAAAAACGGTTTGGTTCTTTCAGTGCCTTTGCATCTCGCCAACATACGAGCTTGCGCTGCAGATTGGTCAAGTAATTGAGCAAATGGGGAAATTTTGTCCTGATGTGAAACTGGCATATGGAATTCGAGGCAGCAAAAGTAAGAATGTGACCTTAAGTGTAGTTACGTTGCATGAAGTCATGAGAGAGCCGGTGTTGGTTATATCACTATGTGAATTTCTGCATTCTGTTCAGTGGAGCGAGGCACCAAGTTGCAGCAGCAGATTGTCATAGGAACGCCGGGTACAATCCTCGACTGGTGCACCAAGTACAAGCTCATCGACCCAAAGAAGATTACTATGTTTGTGCTGGACGAGGCTGATGTGATGATCGCCACACAGGGTCATCGGGACCAGAGCATACGTATCCATAGGTGGGTTCCTTTCAGAGAAGCCTACCAATGACAAGAGTTTAATTTGTGATGTCAGTCAACAAGCCTCTCGTCACAATATTTTCCTCTTTTCTCTCCGTACCAATGCAGACAACTGACAAAGGACTGTCAGATGCTCCTTTTTTCTGCAACCTTTGAGGACTCTGTGTGGAAGTTTGCAGAGCATGTGGTTCCCGATCCCAATATCATCAGGCTGAAGCGTGAAGAGGAGACTCTGGACACCATCAAGCAGTTCTATGTGGTCTGTAAGGAGAAGGAAGACAAATTCACAGCACTGTGTAATCTATATGGCACCCTTACCATTGCACAGGCCATGATCTTCTGCCATGTAAGTCAGTTGTTTGAACTGTTTGGTCCACACTATATAATGAGAGAGAAAAAAAACACTTTCCCTTTCGCTGTTGGATCTCAATTACACCTGGTGATCTGTGTCTGGATGCACAAAATGGATCAAAGCATCTGATACGCAGGCCTTTGCATTTATACATGGTATTAATAATTCTCTCCATCTAAATATGTACATACATGAGGCAGGGTTGGAGGATGTCAACAAACTTGCAGAGTCCCACGTGAAGGGAAGACTTGTTGGCTACTACTTGTAGCTGTTAATGTGCAGCTAAACCTAGTAGGTAGAGGCAAAGTCAGGAAGTGTTTTTCCTTGTCCACATAGGATATCCAGATACAGATTGCATGTTAAAGCCAGATGTAAGTGTGGTGTTGACGTTTGGTAAATTGACAGGTGATAAGGTGTGTTTTAATGCATCTGCATTGGCCAAAACATGTCTCTTTAAGACGTTACCTTATGGTATGACTTAAAAATATATCTAATTTATCACAAATAACAAAAATTCAAATTTCAGCAAAATATCCCCTGACAGGATGCAGTATGAGCAATTCAGTTCAGCTGATAGTTTTTCTTCAGACTCGCAAGATGGCAGCTTGGCTGACTGCAAACCTGACCAAAGAGGGCCACCAGGTGGCATTGCTGAGTGGGGAAATGACCGTGGAGCAGAGAGCTGCGGTCATCGAACGCTTCAGGAACGGCAAGGAAAAGGTGCTCGTGACCACCAATGTGTGCTCCAGAGGTGAGGGAGATTAAGACTGACTGACTAATTAAAACATCGTCTTTGTTGGGAGGGGAGTATAAGCGTACCCAACCTATTTGTGGTTATGTTGACTACAGGGATTGATGTGGAACAAGTGTCACTTGTGGTCAACTTTGACCTGCCTGTGGACATGGATGGGAACGCTGACAATGAGACATACCTTCACCGGATTGGCCGCACAGGACGCTTTGGCAGAAGAGGATTTGCTGTCAATATGGTTGACAGCAAACACAGCATGGATATTATCAACCAAATTGAAATGCATTTCAGTATGTTCCCGTTTCTTTCAGTTTGATTAACACAGCAAATATAAATCCTGTCAATATCTTTATATTTACATAGGTTTATTGTTGCTGCTCACCAAGTCGTGTATTTGTAAGAAGAACTTGGCAATAAATATGATTCTGATAAGGATCCTAACATGACTTTATCTCTCCTTCTCTCACAGACAGGAGAATCACAAAACTTGACACCAGCAATCTTGAGGAGATGGAGAGCCTAATAAGCTGAATGCTTTGCTACATGCACTCCCAATACTGAGGCAGTTAGACGTGTTACGTCAAATGTGACTTGAGTTATTTCAAGGGTTTATTGATTGTAATGTTTACAGAAAAGACATGCGTGCTAATGTTGGCTATGGAAACTTAGTTCATGGCACTAATTTGTGCCAAAGTTTTCACTTTGACTTTCATTTGATGTGTCTGCATTGATTGATCACTGGAGTCACCTTAAGCCTTTAAACTGTCTCCCAGAGACCTTAAACTAACCAGTAGCTGTTAAAACAGCATTTAAGAAGGGTGGTGATATTACTACAGTTAATTGTTTGCAGTGTTTGATTATCTGAAGTGTGTATGTGTGTGTGGTTTTTTTTTTTTGTTTGTTTTTTTTGAAGGATTGGTGGGGCACAAGACTGCCTCCCTTACAGATGTTTGCACGGCTTGATAAAAGTTGAGATCAGATATTTGAGTGAATGCTTCAGCCTTGTGGTGCCTGACAGTTAGTTTCCTCATAACTTAATTTGGTGTGGGATCTGACTGTGAAGCCAGAGCTGTTACTGTGTGGATAAAAAATAAATATACTGTTGCATGTGAAACCTGTTCAGTTTCTTGCAGTTGAATTGCTGTTTTTGTTTGACTGCTTTAGATTGTCAGAGGACTGACATTGGCCCTTTTATCAAGTAACACCAAAAGAATGAATCAGTTGCTCAGAACCTTTTATTAAACATAATCTGACAAACGTGTATTTCTTCAGTGAATATACAATATGTTCAAAACCCTCTAACCACTTAATTCTCTGCACTTTAGTGTGTTAATCATTTAAATACATTTTGTAAGTGAAAAGTAGCATGTGTGTCTTGATTAGTCATATGTCACGCTTCATAAACGCATTGCTCTTATCCATCCAGAAATCATTTTGTGGCTCCATTCTATAGGAAGTGATATAAAAGCAGTACTTCAGTCAGAACAGAGTGAGGTTTGAACTGGACCTTTTTCACAGCAGTCATTTTGAACAATAGAGGCGTTACTAATAATGACAGCGATGGCTGTGATTCATTTGGTATTTACACCTGTGCCTTTCCTACTGTTGCACTTCAAAATGTCTTGTGTCGAAGAGGCCTGCTGCTTTCCTGTTTGGTGTACACATAGGATCCCCTTTTTCTCCTCTTTGAGCAGCATGTGTCATTTAGACAAGTGACTCAACACATACAAGTCTGTAAAATTAAATTTCAGTCACAAGACTCAGTATACATTTTATGTATTTGTGTTCAAGTATTTTAAGTATTGTGCAGTCCCCCTGAATAAACAAACAAGTCATTTAAAATGTGTTTACAAGCCATTAGATGAATTGACTTAATTGTTCAAAATTTGCTGGTCAATAGTTGCACACAAAAAGCTTGTGAACTTAAAAATGTTTTAAGGCATAAAAATAATTTTGAGTCTGATGTTTTATCACAAAATTAAATTTAAAACTCTTAAAGCACATCTAAAGTCCTAAAAGATATTTTTATCAAATCTTGTGGAAACAATATCCAAAAGAATAAAACTTCTGGGGCTCCATAACATCCCTCCCTCCCTTTCATCTCACTCATTGAAAAGTCCTGAATCTTTTTCCATTTGAAAACGCCGGACAGTTTACCTTATACTTCACTAACAAGTGCATCCTCAGTGTATGTGTGCTGGAGGTTTCACACTTTCCCCCCTCAGCAGATGGATGTGAAAACAGCCTTCTAGCATCAAACTCACAACATCACTGTGTACTGCAGTGAGGCTCAAACATCCAAGGGAAGAAACAATAAGCAAAACACATTTTGGAGTGGTGGGGGACTCTATATACCAACATTAAGACAAATTTCAACTGCAAAACATAAAGCTCACTCGTGCTCCACCATGCTGTCGTTCTGGGAGATGCACAGCAACCATCTGTTCAAGATGCCACACTGGGCTAAGGTCATATTCATATCTGTGAAGGTCCTGCGTGGTAGATCCACGGTCTCAATGGAAGTGTCTCCATATTTGACTCCATACCTGACCTCTGCACTGGCTTTCACCGTCAGCAGGGTGTCTGTGGGGTTAAAGTGCTGCTGAAACCTCCTACCACATGGGGCTCGGATAGCTAGGAGCAAGCTGCCAGTGGCACCAGCTTCTTTGGTCATTATTGGTCCTGGTTCAGGGGGTTTAGGTGTGACCCTGAGATGCACATCAGCCCTCTTGTCCAGCTCAGAGCTGCAGGTCTGGGTCACAGCCTTCACCATGGGGAGATCTGGCTCCTCATTCCTGCGCCTTTGTTGTGGGATAGCATCATCAGACAGGCTCAGCATGGACATCTGTTTGTCCAGGTTTCTCCCAAGACTCACCTCTGACCGCCTCCTCTCTATGGATGGAAGGACCTTGTACTTGTTTAAGGACTGTGGTGGAGCAGCAGGGGCGTGTTGCAGCATCTGCAGGACTTCATCCTGGCTCAGCTGGCTGGCTTGCCACATTATGGGCTCTGACTGGAAGTGGAGGTTTCTGTCCGGCCTGCTGTACACAGGAGAATTTGGAGACACAGGTGGCCCCCGGATGCTGGCTGTGTCACCTGCATGCAGAGAGTTGTTTACAGCAGGTCTGCTTCGCCCTTTGGAGGACTTTGGCCTTGCTAAATGCATTGATAACCAGCTGTTAAGGTTCTCTCTAGCATTACAGTTCAGAAAAGTCTGTCAGTGAAGATTCGCAGTTGTTGTCTTGGCTTCAATCCTTCAAAAAAAAAGTAAAGAAAGCCATACCTTAGAAGTTAATATCTCCACTTCTAAGACCTTTGTAGAAGCAGTTTTACTACCTGGAAGAGCAGATGCCTGCTACTGGAGCTAAATTACAGGTTTAAGCGTTAAAAACGCCGTTCGTGCGCATTACTTTTGAATCGCTTTCAATCCAGTTTCCCAGTTTCAGCAGGAAGTACCTCCAGTGAGCGTCGGCGAGGTTGCCGTGACAGTCTGGTTGCCTTGAGGACGACTTGTGTGCTGGAGACAGGGAGGCCCCTGATGTTGGAAGTGCGTAACTGCAGCAAGATTAATCAGATTGAAACCTTTTGTTCTGAGATGTCCGGGCCTTTTTTAACTGCAACAAAAACATATTTAACATCGTTTAATCACCTTAATGCTTCGTGACATTTCCTATATTTGTTAGAACTGCTTAAAAACATGATTCTGAATTTTAAAGTCTGCCACAGAAAACGACATTGATCCTGTTTGAGATCTCAGAGACGCCCAGCAGTGAAAGCATTGGTGGACTAGCCTACTCAGAACTTTTACTTTTACTTTTATGCAGCATACCACTGTATAGAAATACTCTGTTATAAGAAAAAGTATTGCATTCAAAGATTTAATTTAAAAATACTTCTAAAGTAAAAATTAACCTATGCAGAAGTGTCCATTTCAGAATAATATATTATTTTGTTTGATTATAATTATTGATGCATTAAGTTGTGAATGTTGCAGTTGGTAAGTGGGCTGAGTTTAATTACTCATATAGCCTACTGCTGGGTAGCTTGTGAGTTGTAACCCTTTGCTGGGATAAATAAAGGTTTATCTTAACCTATAACAAAACATCATAATGTATTTGTTATATATTTTGAATTAATAATCTGTATCTGCCATCTGCAAGGAACTGGTAACTTAAGTTATAAAATAAATGTAGTGAAGTAATACAATATTTATCTCTGAAAAGTAGTAGAAAATAGAAATACTTCATGAAATAAAAGTACCTCAAATGTGTACTTAAGTAAAGGACCTTTGTTGTTTTCCACCACTGTGTAAAACGTGATTTGTGGTGCAAGTACCTTTTACACAACATTAACTCTCCCAAATCCCTAATAAGTCTGTTTAGATTTCTGTTATTGGATTTTACAACAGTTTGTTCATAAGAGAAAAGAAAATCATTAGTAACACCGCTATGTAGCATAACACACTGGTCTTTTCTTTGTCTGCAAATATTAGAACAATATCTCCTTATTTGGTGTAATAATGATGTTTTAAGGGCAGGGTTACCACTTCAATACTTTTCTGCACATGTAACAAAACCTTTCTCAGGTAAAAGGCTGTTTGACAAAATGTTTATCAGATGGCTCTATAATCCATTGTCACATCAACATAACACAAATTAACAACCATCAACCAAGTGGATTTCTTTTTTATTAAGTTACACTGTTTATAAATTCTGTTTGAATTAATGATAATATATATATATAGTACAATACCGTACATTTTTATAACAATACACCAATCACTTCAAATAAAGAATACCAGCATATTTTGTCATTTATAAATTAAATGAAAAGTTATTATATACAGTGGGGTTAACAACTCTGAGTACACTAAAGCTTTTCTTCCATAAGTGCCTGACAACAGTTTATAAAGCAAAATTACATTCTTTTCCTCTAAGTAAAAATGTTGTAGTATTTGGTTTGGTCATTGAACTGCAAGTATGTGTTTACAGAAATTTAAAGATCCACATTATTACAGTACTTCTGGCTGTAATGTTAAGAGTATGTATATCCCAGATAAATTAGTTTAGACTTTATCACTAAAGAAGTGGTTTGGCCCTCGACCCTGTACGCAGGATAAGCGGTTGACGATGGATGGATGGATGGATGGATGGATGGATGAAGAAGTGGTTTGGAAACTGCTACTCACCCATTAAGGCTGCAGTTTACCGGTATTCTTTTTTTCTGTATTTTTTACTATAAGACCGTGATAATTTATGCAGTACTTAGTATCACCAAACATCAGATCATCTAGTATTAGATTACAGCAATACCCACTGTGTAACAGGAGCATAAATATGTTAAAATTTGAATGAGATATGGTACGAGAACATCATGCCCAAAGGCTTCTAAGAGAAGCGAGCTTGTGCCCGGGAGGTCGCTGGTTCAATCCCCGGACCAGCAGGATAAAATCTGGGTATGAAAAGTAAAACAAATAGTCCCTCATTTACCACCACTGAGGTGCCCTTAAGCAAGGCCCATAACCCCAGCCGCTCCAGGTGAGCTGCTCAGTGGCCAGCAGACGAGGCTGCGGTTGTGCTGGGCAGCTTCCAAGTGTAAATGTGTAGAGTGTACATGGGATCAGGGCCTTCCTGCAAATGAGAGGTTACTCTCAGAGAAGCTTATACAGCTTTCATACAAGCATTTCTCTAATATATAAAATCATGATTGCTATCAGTTCTAAATCAGATTATTTTCATTATCGATTATCAAATTGGTTGATAATGATTTACTACATTATGAGACCAAACTATTTGGTGTTTTTGCTTGAAAAAATAACTTAAATATTTAATCGATTCTCAAAATAGCTGCAGATTAACTTTCATCAGATCAACTAATTGATTAACAAACTGATCTTTGCAGCTCTGGTTCTAAATAATATATCCCCACATAATTTGTATCAACTTGGTCTTTTTGGGGGATAAATTGTGAAAAACAAATGAACAGCTATTAGCACTGAGCAAAGACTTCTGTTCCCTTCAACAATTTAAATTAAAAACAAATAAATCTATGAGCAAAAGCTGAATTTAAAAGTTCATTCAGATTATAAAGACTAACATGCAACATTATAATTAACAGTAGATAATGCAGTAGGTACAGATTAGCATCAATGAAATGATGCTAAATTATTTGTATCCAACACTGTACAGAGAAACACTTAAATCACCAAACAGGAGTAGTAGCTAGCTTTAAAGCCCTTCAGGCGGGACAAGTAGAGGATATTTAATCATTTAAAGTGGCAGACAATAGTACTTGTTGCTCTCTATGGTAAATCAAGCAGATTATGTTGAGCGTAAAGTTCCTCTGTGATCTGGTACACCTCAGAGATAAGAGGTAGAGCGTCCCCTAGCATGGCCACGACTTGTTCCGGGGGCCCTACATTCATCACTTCAAGGAAAGCGGGACGCCCTGGGAGCACGCAGAACGCCATGCCTGCAGCCTTGCGGACCAGCCAAGGGTGGTGCTGGGCAAGAGACTCATTGTAGGCCTCTGCACACATGACAGATGTCTTGCTGTCCTCACTGCTGGTGCGGAGGCGCTCCAGGAAGAGCTCCAGCCACCTCAGCGCACGGTGCAGCCTCAGTAGAGTACGGCAGCCTGACTCTGCATGGCTGCCCCTCTTGGTCAGGTCCACTAGTCCAGTCTCCAGCTCATATTTTACCATTGACTGGACAGTGACATAGTGAGACCCGTTCTCACCCTCCAGGTAGTTGACCAGGATCTTGATCTTGTTGACAGCATCCTTGGAAATGAAGCCAAAGACATTCCCCAAGCTGTTCAGAAACCTATTAAAGGGATGAACAAAACACCTCAGTGACACTTTGTAGACTGCTTCAGCTGAGTGTAGTATGTACAGCATTGGATAACCAGGCTGTAAGTGCATACACATTTTATCAGTTCACACAAGAGAAGCCACATAAGTCCAACACATGCCAAAAGATTTGACCAACTTACTTTACCAGACCACGCCACCCAGCGACGTAGTGTTCAAGGTAGACCTCTTTATTCTCGGACAAACACAACTTGAAAGTGTCGAGCACCTCCTGTAAGCAGAATGTCTGGTCTTCTGAATCAACAGAATCTGCCATGGTTTTCTATACGGAAGTGCTACCGACAAAAATGGACAGGTAACAAATGAATGAGCAAAGGTATTTAACGGCTACTAACAAAGTGGAGATGGCAACAAATGTAAGTACTGAGGTAAACAACCACAGAGCGAACACATTACCTCCAAGAAAACTTAAAGGTGAAAGAAAAACTAAGCATTTCTCTTCGTATCCGTAAGACAAGTTACTGCTTCTCTAATCTGCTTCTACTGCGCAGACGCGGGCCGGAAATCACCGGATATTGGTGACTTTGCCTCCAAAATAAAAGCGATGGCGTCGGAGGTTCAGCGCTTCGGTAAGAAAATAGAGGACTGTGGCTACCATGCGATCAATTAGAGATCTGTAACATTTAGATAACTGAATGTCACTGTGATTTGTTAAAATAGATAAAGCTCGATAGGCAATTTACTTCAGAGGCATTCTCGTTATATTTATGTTATATCAATGCATCAAAAAACAAAACAATCAGCATCTGTGGCTGTGCTTTTTAAAACAAATGTTAATGCCACACTCTAATTAGTGACATGAGATTTAAAAACTGTTGTCCAAATGACATGGGGAAAATGACGCTGTACATTTTCTTGTGTTACAAATTCTATAGCTTAATCTATATTATTTACTGTTATGTATAAATCTAGGCTACTTTATTTACTTCAGTTCCCAGCTAATCAGAGCATTATTATTAATAATAATAATAATAATAATAATCTTTATTTGTAGAGCACTTTTCAAAAACAAGTTACAAAGTGCTTTAACAAGTGTAAAGACAATAATACCCAAGAGACAATAATACAAAAACAATACAAGATAAAGGCATGAAAACATTGAAAAGACTAAAATACACGTTTAAGATAAATATAAAATTAGTAAAATAGAATAAAATAAAAGGGATAAAATGAAGTCAAATAAGATCGGGAAAGGCTCTCCTATAAAAGTATGTTTTAAGAAGGGACTTAAAAGAGTTCACTGACCGACCTGATTTCCTCGGGCAGGCTGTTCCAGAGCCTCGGGGCCCTGACAGCAAACGCTTTGTCCCCTTTAGTTTTCAGTCGAGACTCTGGAACAGCCCGAGGATCTATATGGGACTAAAAGGTCAGAAATATAACAAGGCGAGAGGCCATGAAGAGCTTTAAAAGTGATCAATTCTAAAACATACTGGGAGCCAGTGTAATGAAGCTAAAACAGGGGTAATGTGGTCATATTTCTTTGATCTGGTTAAAAGCCTGGCAGCTGAGTTCTGGACAGTCTGGAGTCGATCAATAGATTTTTGGGTTAAACAGGTGAAAAGGCTGTTGCAATAATCCAGGCGTGATGAGATGAAGGCGTGTAAAATGGTCTCGGTGTCCTTAAAAGTTAACATAGATCGTTAAAAACATGATTGAACAAGCTTTGTGGTGTGCTGCTCGAAATTTAAATTACTATCAAACCAAACACCAAGGTTCTTTGCCACAGGCTTAATGTGATTTACTAGGGAACCAGCAGATGGCAGTATTTGTTTTGCCATCTGCTGGGACAAGATGACCAGGATTTCTGTTTTGTCTGAGTTCAGTTGGAGGAAATTATTTGACGTCCATTTTTTAACTTCACAAAGGCAGTAAGTAATTTTTTTTTTTAAACTACTAGGGATGGAAATGGGGATGCCCTGGCTGATATAGTACCTGATCTGGTTTATAAGGTCAGTATTGGTGCTGATCCTGATCCAGATCCAACATAGGTCTATCATTTCAATGCATCTGTAATATTAATTCTAAAAATACTGGAATCAGCCTGTAAAATACCTACTTTATGAAGATGAATGTATAATACACAAATTCAAATAGAAACAAAGAGATTGAACTTACCATTCTTGTAAAATGATCGGCAAAAAGGACATTTATTTTGAATGCGCTACCCGGAAGTCGCATCCACGGTTTACTGTGGGTGACTTGACACTGGTAAAAAAAAAACCCGACCCGCATGTAAGTTAACTGAACAGCAAACATTTTGTTGCAAACAAGGTGTTATTCATAGAAAACAGTCCGCCCAGCTGGGTTACCGAGGTGTCATTCATCTGTCTTCAAAAACAGGCTGTCCTGATGAGAAAACATGCCTGAAATAAAAGTAACACCACTGGGTGAGTAACGTCCCAGTGGCTAAGTTAGCATCTGCATTGCTAGTTCCGTCAACAATAAATGTGTCTAAAACATTGAAGGTCTCTATTCGCTAAATGTCTGGCTCTGTTTGAATAGTAATAACTTGTGTATCTCCTGCTGTTATGAAGTCAAAAACAACTCGCAAGTTTCACCATTTATCGTTAGTAGCTGTTGTTAGCTGAGGAAGCTAACTTAGTGGTCTTACTGGCGCATTCACTGTGTTTTAAAAGCTTTCCTTCAACTTCACTGTTCCCTCTCCAAGGTGCTGGACAGGATGTCGGCCGCAGCTGCATCCTTGTCTCAATTGGAGGCAAAAATATAATGCTGGACTGTGGAATGCACATGGGATACAATGATGATGTAAGTTAAGTAGCTTATGGCTTAGAAAAAACAACAACAACAACTGTGTAAGATGATCAGTACGACATGTTTTTTTTTTCCTTTGGTTTGGTTTCTGTCATGAACAACGTACACATGACACACTTGTTCAAACATTTACATAAAAGTGCTAAAGTACTAAATACATAAATTCATCATGGGAGCTTGAAACTAAAGGTGCACAGACAAGGTGTTAAGAATAACCTGCTCCAAACCATATTAACTGCAAAGACTGCCATGTCTCAGCTACTATGCAGATTTATCTATAACTGATGCAGCATTACTCTAAATTAAAGCTTCATAAATTTATAAAGCACCTTCAATCTCACCTCTTTCAGTTTTGTTAATTAAAAAGTTTTTACACATGTTTTTAAATGCCTGCAATTTATTCACCTGGTGGTTGCTGTAATACAGGAGTGTTGTTGGCTAGCCATACTGACTAACTATAAGTTACAGCTGAAGATTACTTGTCTAACTGACTAGTCAATCTACTGAAAATATAAATTGCAACTTTTTTGGTAATCAGTTAATGGCTTTTTAAAGCAAACATTCTGTAGTTGCAGCTCCTCAAAACTGAGGATTTGCTACTTTATACCATTGTCATTGAATATCTTTGGGAGGGTGGTGGTGGTGATGGAGCAGTGGATAAGACCTGCCTTTGGTGTAAGAGACCCGGGTTCGGGTCCCTTACACCAAAGGCATGTGACCTGAGCAAGACACTTAACCCATCATTGCGTGTGACCTCTGACATGCACAGCAATTGTAAGTTGCTTTGGATAAAAGCGTCAGCTAAATGAATAAATGTAATTTCATAGACCAAGCAATGATTACCAAATTGTGTGGAAATTTATTGATTTTTACAGTTAAATATACCTACCTTTTTTACGTAACGTATTCTAATAGGCAACCCTTTCACTTCCATAACCAGCAGATTAATCAATAATGAGGACAACCTTTACTTACAGTATCTAATTGCAAGTGTAATCCCTCTTCTCTGCTCTTTAGCAGCATCTTCAGTGACTTTAGCTAAGTACCTGCAACTGTCTTCTTTCAAATGTTTTTTTTTATTTTGAATGCATTAATAATAATGTAACTTATATTAATATTATAAGTTCTAGCATAATGCTAATTGAATGCCACTCTCTTTTGTCATTGCAGAGACGGTTCCCTGACTTTTCTTATATAACCCAGAATGGACGTCTGACAGACTTTTTGGACTGTGTAATCATCAGGTTTGTTGTCCTCATATTTACATGATATAGTGCCATTTCTCTCTTATCAACATGTATAAAATAAATAAAACAGTCCAGTATTCTGACATGGCTGCACCTGTTCCTTTCTCAGCCATTTCCACTTGGACCACTGTGGCGCTCTGCCCTTCATGAGTGAGATGGTGGGCTACGATGGACCCATCTACATGACCCATCCCACCAAGGCTATCTGTCCCATTTTGCTGGAAGACTTCCGCAAGATCACGGTCGACAAAAAGGGAGAAACCAACTTCTTCACCTCGCAGATGATCAAGGACTGCATGAAGAAAGTTGTACCTTTGAACCTCCACCAAACTGTCCAGGTGCAGTGCCGATATCATTTTTGATGTGCCCAGATATCCAGCTATTAATCATTTCTGCACCAGCTGCTCGTCTCTTTTGATGGCGAATCAAGCTGTTTTTTGTTGTGCTGCTGGCAGGTGGATGATGAGCTGGAGATCAAGGCATACTATGCAGGCCATGTCCTGGGAGCTGCCATGGTGCAGATCAAAGTGGGATCAGAGTCTGTGGTCTACACTGTGAGTGTAAACAAGTTTGTACTGTATCAAACTCAGTGAATTTGACTGCCAAGATCTCAGAATAATGTCTTTTTTATTTTCAGGGAGACTATAACATGACACCTGACAGGCATTTAGGGTAAGTGGCCTTTACTGCATTTAATTATTGTATGCTGGAGTTTATGCCCACGCACTACACAGTGTCTTCATCCTTGTGTTGTACATTTGCAGTGCTGCGTGGATTGATAAGTGCCGTCCAGACATCCTCATCTCAGAGTCCACATATGCTACCACCATCCGTGACTCAAAGAGATGCAGAGAGAGGGACTTTTTGAAGAAGGTGCATGAAACCATAGAAAGAGGAGGAAAGGTAATTCTTTACTTTGTGGTGGAGGTTTTTGTTTTTCTTTATATTACATTATGGGGAAGGGATGAAGGTTTTACAAACATTCAGTGCAAATGTTCAAATGTTTCCTTGTTATCTTTTCAGGTTCTCATTCCTGTGTTTGCCCTCGGAAGAGCACAAGAACTCTGCATCCTGCTGGAAACATTTTGGTAGGGTTGTTCTTCAGTTTTTAAAACAAACTCCAGAGGCAAAATTCAAATAAGTTTTGTTTTACATTTTCAGTAAAGCTTTGTGAATGTACAGTGCACAGCATAAATGAGTACACCCCTTTGAAAATTAAGACTCTTGTCCATTTCTCAGTGAATATGAGACCAATAATATTATATTTATATTATATTAATTCTATACCATAACAGTGAGGTCTCGTAGCTTCTCTAGGAAAAAAACAACAACATTTTATTCAAACGAGGTGTTTATTATTATTATTATTATTTATTTTATAAAATTATACACCCTATCAACAAATTCTACTAAATCTAATATTTTGTATGGCCTCCTTGACGTTTAAGAACAGCAGCAAATCTTCCAGAACAAGACTTGA